GTAGGGGACTAATAAGACCTAAGATAGAATATATCATTTTAGACATTGAAACTTAATGACCTTAACTTTAATGATATATATTTATATAAATTACACACTTTAACAACAGGTATCAATCCCTTTATAGCTTTAAAATATAGCTTTCCATAAAAATGTAAATTTTAAGTAAAATTTAATAAATGGGTTCTGAAGACATCTGCAAAGTATTTGTGGCAATTAAAAACTAAAATTTCAATGAGGACAAGCAGATTCTAATCTCAAAATGTATTATTGTAAGCCTGTTTACTTATAGCAAATATTGAAGAAAAAAGAAAATGAAAGACATTGCATTGTAAAGGAAATGCTTCAAGTTACACTGTGAGGTAGACATAAAAGAAACTATTGAACTGGTGATAATTAAATATATATCTTAAAGTGTTTGGACAAATTTTTACACCTTGATTTCCATGCGACTTCTAGGACAAAAGTATATTTGCATAGTATATACTTAAAAAAAAATAAAAATGAAAGAAAAAGGGCTAACATTATTGACATGTCATCAAACTTTCGAAATGATTTTTCAGTATGAAAGTAAAGGACTATGGGATGGCATAATTATATAATATATTATGCAATAAGAATTAAGTCATTGGATGCAAGGGCATTCATGACATTGATTTTTAAAAAAAAATATAACCATGCCAGGGGGTTTAAAAAATCATACATTTTATTATCTACAATGTAGCAATAAAGAATAACATAGAAATTGTTAATATTATGTTTAGAAATTGTTAATATTATGTTTACACAATATACAATGCTTTGGATTCTGTTATTTTTCCTTCCATAAAAGATTCATAGACTAATGATTATTTTTGAATATTTGGCTTAATTCTGTGTTTAACAACACATTCAAATTTCCACCATTCGTACAAGTGTTTTGTAACAAGCAGTATTCCAAATACCAGGTGCTGTCTTGTTTTTGCACTGAGTAGGGTAGGATTTTGATTCTTTTGTTAAAATCTCCATAAGGCTTTTCAAATAGTTCCATTTTCAATGGGACAAATTGAGGTGTAATCTACAAAATATGTTTCAAATGGATTAAAATTTAATGCATATTTCTTTAAATACATGACAGAACATGCATTCATACAATATTTCAACTTTTATTTATTCATTAACATTATTAATGCAAAAATTAAAACAAAATGTGCTTTCCTAAAATTGATGAAGTACTTAAATTAAATAGTGTCTTTTATAATATATAAATTTTCATTTCTTTATACTTTGATAGTGTCTTTTAAAGATACACATTTCACTTCCCCTAAATTGGTCTGATCCCTTAATTGGTATTAATTTCAATACCAGAAACATAAAATTGCAGCCCCTGATGTGATATAATTTTCTATTCCCTCCTGACTGAGTTGAGTACCAAATGAAACCAATGATTTTCCTAATAAGTTCCAAGCAAAATCGTTCATAATTCTTGTACACAGTCTATATAACTAAGAAGAAACTTGTACACAGACTATATAACTATTTATACACAATCTATATAACTTTTTGTACCACAGTCTAGAATAACTATTTGTACACAGTCTATAACTGTAAATCTGCATGTAATAAAATTTAAAAATTGTAAAAATTATACTGAAAATGACAAATACTCAAGTCAAAATGATGATTTAATATTGCCTCAGTTAAACTAAACCTGACCTGGCTTTTATGTTTCAAGTAATGCATTCAAACAACAGTAATGATTTTAGATGGAAAAATATTTATACAAAAATGTAAAAGCATTCTTGTTTACTATCTAGTGTGGGGATAGCCCAGGGGTCAAGCTTCAATGAATGGTCAATAGCATTTATAGTAAACTATTTGTCAACAACTGTCCAAATACAGTAATGGAATAAAGTAACATATAATCATTTCTTTTCAGGAGTTATTGAATTTTTAGTGAATCATTCGGAAATAATCAGTAATTTGAATAATTTTAATTATATAGAAGAAAAAGTGTTTTACAAATTCTTTGACACACCTAGACTAGTTTAACTGTAACTAATATCATTCCATATTAAACAGATTTAAAATAACTTTAATATGCAAAGAAAAATAGACTGCCCAATATCATAAATAAGAATGTTCTAAAAATCATTCTAATTTGAGTAGAATTTTTCATAATGATCCTATTTTTTTTTTGCATAAATTGATGTATATCTATTTTAAATATTTCAACATTTAAAATTTGAAAACTTTAAAGAAAAAAAAAAAGATTGTCACTTATTTGTGACAGTAAAAGTTCATTAAGATAATCAATGGTCATGAATAATGATGATGATGGTAGTAGTGGTAGTAGTTATAATAATAATAATAATAATAATAATAACAAGAATTTGTAACAGAGTTACCAACGTCCCCCGCCCCGGGAGTTTTATATGAAGCATAAAATTGTGCTATTTCAAAAGATTGAGGTATGGATCTCAGGACATTCAGTCCAAAATTATGATCAATGCTAGATCTGCAAATGTAACAATAAATTTGTTAAAAAAATAAAATGAAACACTGAATTTAAAAATCTATCATGTTAAGCTTTGACCTCTAAGTGTGAACTTGACCTTGGAGGTAGGGAAGCAGGTGTTGTGCATGACATAACGTCTTATTATTATGACTATTTGTGCCAAGTTATTTCAAAATCCCTTGAACTATGAAGAAGTTCTAGATTCAACACAAAATATACCCTGTAACAGACTATGTTAATTTTTGACCTCTAAGTGTGACCTTGACCTTGGGAGGTAGGGATGCAGGTTTTGCGCATGACACATCCTCTTATTATAGTGACTATTTGTGCGAAGTATTTTCACAATCCTTTGATCTATGAAAAAATTATAGACCTGACACAAAATATACCCTGTAACAGACTATGTAAGTATTTGACCTCCAAGTGTGACCTTGACCTTGGAGGTAGGTGACCGGTTGTTGCACATGACACATCATCTGATTATTGTTAACAATTATGGCAAGTATTTACAAAAGTCCTTCATAGATAAGAAAGTTATGTATATATATACATATACCCTCAAATAGACAATGTTGACCTTGAATGAACAAGTACGACCTTGACCCTGAAGGTACGGGTCTGGTTGTTGGGCATGACACATCGTCTTATTATAACAAACATTAGTGCCAAGTTATCTCAAATTCCTTTGATAAATGACAAAGTTATGGACCCGACACGAAATATACCCTGTAACAGACTATGTTAATATTTGACCTCCAAGTGTGACCTTGACTTTGAAGGTAGGCAACTGGTTTTTGCGCATGACACATCGTCTGATTATTATGAACAATTATGGCAAGTATTTACAAAAACCCTTCATAGATAAGAAAGTTATGGACCGGACACGAAATATACCCTTTAACAGACTATGTTAATATTTGACCTCCAAGTGTGACCTTGACCTTGAAGGTAGGTGACTGCTTTTTCCGCATGACACATCGTCTGATAATTGTGAACAATTATGGCAAGTATTAACAAAATCCCTTCATAGATAAGAAAGTTATGGACCGGACACGAAATATACCCTGTAACAGACTATGTTAATATTTGACCTCCAAGTGTGACCTTGACCTTGAAGGTAGGCAACTGTTTTTTGCGCATGACACATCGTCTGATTATTATGAACAATTATGGCAAGTATTTACAAAAACCCTTCATAGATAAGAAAGTTATGGACCCGACACGAAATATACCATGTTAATATTTGACCTCCAAGTGTGACCTTGACCTTGAAGGTAGGTGTCTGCTTTTTCCGCATGACACATCGTCTGATAATTGTGAACAATTATGGCAAGTATTTACAAAATCCCTTCATAGATAAGAAAGTTATGGACCGGACACGAAATATACCCTGTAACAGACTGTTAATATTTGACCTCCAAGTGTGACCTTGACCTTGAAGGTAGGTGACTGGTTTTTGCGCATGACACATCGTCTGATTATTGTGAACAATTATGGCAAGTATTTACAAAATCCCTTCATAGATAAGAAAGTTATGGACCGGACACGACATATACCCTCAAATAGGCAATTTTGACCTTGAATGAGCAAGTGTGACCTTGACCCTGGAGGTAGGGGTCTGGTTGTTGCGCATGACACATCGTCTTATTATAATAAACATTTGTGCCAAGTTATTTCAAATTCCTTTCATAAATGACAAAGTTATGGACCGGACACGAAAGTGTGACGGACGGACAGACGGACGGACGGAGCCTATTTCTATATCCCCCTTTTTTCTTCGAAAAGGCGGGGGACAATAATAATAATAATAAAATAAAAAGAAATTTAACAAACTGGGAGTGGCCAATGTGACTTGTGGATTATGACTGCAACATACTTAAACCAAACCTTAAGATTAACAAATCAAATCAAGTGGAAGGAATTTTTTTTCAGACTGCCCCACAAAAATCTGTTTCAGGCCTCGCTACCTACCGCCCCACACACACCATTTTTGTTTATTATTAACTGCAATTAGTAAACTTTTTTTGCCTTTTCATTATCTCAAATATGGGTCTAGCTACCTGCTAAACCCCCATACCAACAATTTCTATTATTAACTGCAAGCATAAAACTTTTTTTGCCTTTCCAATTTCTCAAATTCTACTATGTACAATATAATATAATAATAGCCATGTATATATGAAATTTTATCCCCAAAAATATACATAACACAAAGAAATCCTATCAATCAACATTTTTTCTTCTTTGGCTCAGGAAACATTTTCTTCTTTGGCTCAGGAAACAAGAAACTAATTTTTTCATGGAGCCCCTAGTACAGACAATACAAAAAGCTAATTTATTCATATTGGGTTTTTATTTTCTTTTGTGTCCTGTCTAAAAATTTAAATCTTACGTATAACTTTCTGACCTTTCACATTGCCTCAAAGTTTTAACAATAATTACATTCAAACACACATTTCAGAAAAAAAACTATTTCTAATCCTTGAAGCTTAATTCTTTCTTAAGTAAAATAATAATGAGTTTTGGAGCAGGTCCAAGACAGGATTTAATTTCTCCTTTAAAAGGACTTATGCATTGTAATTGACTAAAAGTTAAAGATATGTCGTGATCTTTATGTTTAAATGAATATTAAGAGAGAACTTGTTCTTTTCATGGGTGGAATTTTTGTTTCTGGATTTTCGTTCAGCTGTGATTTGACATTGTTGCACTTTTTACCATTTGGAATTTAAAACTATGTGGAATTTTTAAACAAAAACTTCTTGTTATGTGAATGCCAGGATTTGTTAAACCAATAAAAGGTAAAAGGAAAGGGAGTAGAAAGGAAAACTAAACTGATTAAATAAGTTCTTACAACTTAATTCATCACTTTCGAGTTCACTTCCTGGGACTTACCAGCACAGGGTCCATGAAGAAACAATTGGTTGTGACCAGAGTAAAGGGCATCGGCTCAAACCCATGATCTCTAGGTTTACACCAGCTAACCACTATGCAGGCTTTCTACTGCCTCTACCAAAAAAACTAGGGAAAAAGTAGGGCATTTTTTTACCAAAAAGTAGGGCAAAGTAGGGATTTCTAATGTTAAAAACTAGGGATCTAGGGATAAAGTAGGAATTTCTTACCGTTTTAGTTAAGAATTAGCAAAACATACAATCACCAAGACCACATCAGGCTGTGTGTATCAGTTCAGTCCATGCTTGAAAGACAGGCACCTCATAGGCAGAATATTGCTGAATGTTTTGCCAAGGCAGAGCTGCATCAGTACTAAGGGTGTAGTACTTAAGTACCAGTACCAGTACTTGCCAAGTTTTGCAGTACCATTTCCAGTACTAGTACTTGATTTTAGCTTGGTACTTTAGTACCAGTACTTTTTTGGGGGAAGTAATTAAGTACCAGTACTAATACTTTTATATATTCATCAAAGTTTGAATAAATACACAGTGTCATTCAAAATAATTGCAAACATTATTCAACAAAGAAATAAAATCATTTACTTTAAAGTTGACATTACATTTTTACAACTTAAATGAACAAACATACTTTTTACAAACAATAATCATCATATATTCATGTCATATGTTATTGTTTTGTAACCAGTCAACTGTAATACAATGCAATAATCTTACATTTTAAACCCACCAGTCTTTTTGTTGCCTTTTACACCTTCACACCTCTGTTCAATTTATACCAAAGTAAGTACTTTTTTATGGTGCTAACAATATCACTTGAAATATGATTATTTAAAATGGAAGCAAATTAATACGTGTTTATCTTGCTCTTTTTTACTAGTAAATACAAAGTAATAAGATTTCAATAAGGATATTTTACCAGTAAAGAGTTATTGACTCTGTTTATCTCAATTTAATTTTACTTTAAGTCTTTGGTGCTTTTTATGATGAATATTATGTTAACATTTGAAGGAATATTGCAGCGCAAATTATTTATAGATTTGATAACTTACTTTTTCACAAAAATAAAATAATACATGGAATTTACAGCTTTACTTTATGAGTAAAAATAATGACATTTTTATCAAAACCAAAAATAATGCCTAGTAATGCAGTAGCAGTACCACTTTTTTAAGACAGTAATGCAGTACCAGTACCCGAGTAGTAGCAAAATTTTGTAAGAGTAATTCAGTATCAGTACCAGTACTGGAGCAAAATTGCTCAAGATACTGCAGTACCAGTGCCAGTAATGCAGCTCTGACCATGAGTCTTTCAAGGATGGACATCACAAGGAGACACTAACACACCTTAACTACTCATCAATTGCAACTGAAAATACAACTGAAATACCATTTTTAAATATCTTCTATTTTTCATTTCATTTCAAAATGAAAAAGTAGGGATAATAGGGCTATTTTAGAAAAAAGTAGGGCAAAGTAGGGATCAAAAGAAAAAAGTAGGGAAAAGTAGGAAAAGTAGGAAAAGTAGGGACCAGTAGAAAGCCTGCACTATGCTACCGCTTCCCTTACTCAATTCTTGTTTAAGCTTCTCAGGAAGAATATTAAAGTATAGTTGGTAATCTCGAGAATAATAAGTATAAAATTCTCAAAATAAATAACCTGTTTGAATAATCATAATATATTTACCAATAATATATAAATACCCAAAGAATAAGTTCTAAAATCTTTCTTTAATTTAACCTTACGTCTGCTGTCAGGGTCAAGCCGTTGTTTCCGTGAGCAAGAAACTTTACACTCATTGCTTTAAGTACTGGTTAGTTCCAGGAACAGATTCGAGAGTGTTTCAATAAACTTATAGTTTTCAACACAATCAAACTAAAATAAATTTGTATAAACTATAAACAGCAGATTCTAACCCTGTGGACCATGCAGACCAAGATTGGCCAGCACGTCAGCATGCACAATGTTGGCTATTCAGTTAGTAAATATTTCGAAGGATTCCCTTAAATTTACAAATGGTTTTTTCCATATTGAAAAATTGGCAAGTCCATTTAATAAATTTTAAAGTGGTTAGGATTAAAATTCTTGAGAAAGGGTTAAAATTCTTGAGAGAATAGACTAAACTTGAAAAGCTATCCTCAGTTTTCATTAATTCATTTGTTTGTTCAAATTTCCGGATATACATGTATAAATGATCTGATGATGAACTTGTAAATTTTTTTAACAATCTTGACAATGAATGAATAGCGTATTATATCTTTTTTGAGAGAAAAAGTATCAAATGTATGGCTTTTCAACCAAATATATGCAAATTTGGTATAATATTACTCAAAACGTATGATGAGAAAATGAGAAAATAAATCTAAGATTTCTTTTCACTTTTGACAATTGATGAGTGCATTTGATATTCAAGTAAGATTAATTTCATGATTATGAATTATATTCTCCTTAAAAAAATAACATATAGATCATTCCAAAAACTTTGCAAAAACTTCAATTCAACAAAAAATCCATTTAAAATGTCACACATAAATGGATTAATATGCGAGTTTCTGTATTTTTGCATTTAATTACATCAAAACATCAATATATCATTTAAAATATCATATGGTAATTCACTTTAATTTAAACTTATTTCGTAAATTTGATTTTTTTTTCCCTTTTCAATTCTGTTGCTAAGGCTGACTTCATTTGGAAATCACCAAAATTTTAACGCATCATTACTCACCAAAACATCAAACAAAATGTAATATCTAATACACCATCATAATTTAAATTGCATAAATGGGGAAAATCCTCATATAAAATTATGCAAGCATTCTATATGAGCTGTCTTTCAAACAGATAAAAAAAAGTTTAAAAAAAAGTAAAAAAAAAGAGTAAAAAACCCCCCAAAAAACCAGCAAGATCTGAGCTGACTTCATATGAAACATTTTGGTTAATCTTTTATCATCTTATCTCAAGATTCATGTCAAATATATTGTATCTTGTTCTTTACAGATCAATGAGTTACATCAGTAAAGCATTAAAACTGTCAAAACTATTCCCTCTGTTAAAAAAAATTGCAAAACTATTCGCTGAACTATTAATGAAATATGAAAAGTAGAGGAAATAAAAACTGAAGTCATCAGTTTTATGTAAAAAATGAAAAATAAAGGTCTCATATTGTAACATTATTATTATCTTTATTATAGCTCCCAAATCTAATTTATCTCAATTTATTCTCTTTTCATTGCAGATAAAAAACACACACTTGTATGACTGAGGTTGTGCTTACATTGACAGTGACCCATAGCAGCTGGAAAAGATAAAAAGTGAATAAAAATTATGGATTTTTTTTGGTATGACAAAACTATTGTAAAGGCGCAGATATTCAGAAAATAAAAGAAACAGACATTACATTACAGGGCAGAACAACATAATGGAGAAAGTGAACTTTATTCTCTGTTAGAACTGTATATTATGTTTCATTCAATGACCCTGTAATATAATTATAAAGCTGTTTTATTTTTATTTTGTTTTGTTTATACATGTGAACTATTCTGTTTAAGACATCAAATTCGAATGGCATAAAAATCCACTGAAAGAAACAGGAACTAACTTTGATTATGACTTTGGAGTTCTAACATTTTGCAGAACAAAACCTGCATACCAGCAAAGCAATTAGCTTGACTGGGTAAACAAAAAAATATTTAAAAAAAAACAAAACAAAAAAAAAAACGAGTTTTAGAACAAAGTTTGAAAAAGATCAAAAAGTCAACATTACGTAAAAAAAGTCAAGAAATTGAATAAGTGGGTAATATCAATCATTGTAATGAATTACATTAAAACACAATGAACATAAAAGAGATCAAACAATGAATATAAACTTGTAGATAAATAAGTACAGCTGTAGTAGGATCATTTACTGTGTGACATTATCCACTAATATCCGTGACCTGGCTGCGGATAATTGATTCAGAAATCAGCCGAGCAGAACATTTAATTTAGATATTAACTTATCGGGGAATGATAACAGGCTTCAGATTTCTATCGTTAAAAATATTACTGTGACTGTTACATGGAATAAAATATGTAATTCTTTTGAAATTTTTAATAGTTAAATGTTACAAAAAACATTTTGGATTTTTTGCACAAAAATCACATAAAATTGGTTTTATGAAAAACTGAAGGCTTTGTTGATTTCTTTTTGAGTGAGTCAGACGGTATAATAAGATAAAACTTAAATTGAAACAAGTTTTATAGAGATATTTTAAAGTTTCGAGTGACAAGAAACAAAGTTATGTTAGTAGTAGCATTGATAAGCCGGTCTTATTCAATGAAATAAAAATGTGACCTTTGAAATCGGCGGAAAAAATGGAAACTATATTGAAAAGGAACACATTAATGGATTAAGATAACTTTCAAAAGTAAAATTTTGAAAAACACAGCAGTCTGAAGTGACTTGTAGCATTTGACTGTGATAAACAGGTTGTGTTCATACGAGATTTGAAGTGCGCTTAAGACAACTGTACAAATGTATGATGTCAAAAGTTAATTTAGAATATGAAACAACAAATCAAAAGTTAAACATAACAATATCATTACGTTAAATTAAGCTATTAAAGGAATGACTGGATACTAAGACTTTAGGACGAATAAAGACTCAAGTTTAGAATAACGGGAGATTTATCATAAATTTGTCAGATTTTGATCATTTGATCTATTCACATATGAAAGTAAGATTTCAAAAGGATATATTTGCTAATATAGTGGAAATCTTACGTTTCAATCGCTTTTAAATTAGCAATGTATGCTGCACATGTAACGAATGAACAGACTATTATGAAAGTTACATCTGATATAGATCCTCAGTTGAAAGAATTCATCATACGACAAATAATTTAAAATATCGAAATTGAAAGCCAAACTGAAGACTTACGTTATAAGGATATTAGAAATTTCGGAAAATCAGCAAAAATTATTGCATTAAAAAACCAATTATCTGTATGACAAGCAAAGATATCATTATCAAAACGGAGAATTATGGAAATATTGTGTTCATTACGAGACGCATTTACTTATTTCAATCCATATTTTACACAATAAAGATCAATTCAGACTCTCCATTGCGATTTTCAGCAACCAATTAGCCTAGATGGAAATTTTATATTACTATGGACTTCGTTGACCCATGAGGAATCGTGGACAATAGATATCTAGAGTATTTACGTGAAATTTATCAAATACTCTATTGACCAGAGTTACCTTTGCTGGCGGAGGAGGAGACTATAGCTCACGGCACACTGATTGAATGATGTTCGCTCAACATTTTTTTTCTTCGGGAATTAATAACAAGTGTAATTGATTGCGGGGGTAAAAAAGTATAGCTTTGTCACAAACTTGAATGAAAGGTGACATGAAATTTTTATTACATGTACGCAATAGGTAAAACAGATATCGGTAAATTGAGAGTAATGAATAAACCTTTTATACTTGAATATACAATATATTGTTAAAGCCGTCATTCTAAAGTGATAGTAATTATATAGCTGAAGAGATCGAGTGGATTAAAAAAACAAATATTGGAAATAATTTTTGACGGTCGCTTCCAATTTATATTCACGACTTTTGTAAAGGAAGGTATATTTCAATAATCAAATACTGTGCTTGAAAGTAACATAATAAGGACGGATAAGTAAATTCTAATTTAAATACATTTCATTTCAACACAAAGTTTGTTTGTAAATGAACACTAAAAAGTGGTAATTATAAGCAGACACGCAAAGGAGTATTACAGTTAAATGAGATGCCATAAAAAAAAAAAAAAAAAAAAAAAAAAAAAAAATGTAAAAAAAAAAAAAAATCATTCGATAAAATCCAGTTTAGTATACATATAAAATCATCGAAGGTTGAAAAAGGCAGTTAGTTTTCTAACCAAGAGTTTATTTACGATTATGAAAAAATAAGATGGAAAAAGTAACACAAACAGGAAATCAGGGGTAATAACAATGTTAATGAATACAAATACCGGAGATGTGTATCTGGGAATTTAACACCCTGAACTAGCTAAAGTAGGTTAATTTCGACTCAATCAACTACAGCTATTTTGTGACAAACGTTTGTAAATAAGTTCACTGAAAATGTCAATTTAAAAAGCTGCAATTTTATCAGCAAGGAATATAAAACTATGAAGGATTGGATTTTAAAACAATGATAAACACTTGTTTAACACTAACACTATATTAAAACTGGATTTAATTGGAATTTAATAGTAATTTTGCTTGCAATTTTAAAGGAAACAATCACAATGTTTGGAAAATAATAATGTACGGACACTACATGGCATATGGGTGGTCAATTCCAACTCTGGTTTTCGGGGACAACAGGGTTGGCAGTCAACACCAACCTCAAATGCTTTTGGGCATGACCAAAAAAGGGACAAACTGGGCATTTGGTCAGGCAAAATCCAATTTCCTAGGACCCCAATGGTATGATGCATCATGCGGTATTGATGGTATTTCATCTCATGCGTCACCATGGAATTTTTGCGCCCAGAAATTCCCTTCTCGGAAGAAACTGACCCAGTCAAAAGCGAACGTGCAAAAGGAGTTAAGGCCATGGGCATTTTCAAGATATAAGTCTTCCCAGTTGGACATGACGACAAGTGTACTATCAACTATGTTATGAAAAACCACTTGAAACCTAAGCCAAAGCCTAAATTTGGGAAGACAGCAGTCTTTCTCTGTTGCAGACAGTCTCGAAACGTAAAAGAGGCACCAAGTTCAGTTCTGATCCTGACAAGATGAGAAGTCGAACAATAAGTTCATCATTCTTTGCCTACAGGACGTCCTAAGTTTAGCAGATCATTGTCAATTGCAGATGCATATCACTGAGCCTGTTAACATGGACATTGCAATTCCTTTCCTCCGTAGACAGCAGTCTTTGGATGTTGAAAAAATGCGCAGGAAATCACTCCCTAAAAAACCATTGCTTCCTCTGAACATGTTCAAAACATAGACGATCATCTAAAGTCAAAGAGAATATGGATAAATCTGAAACTTCCAGCATTGCAAATTATCTACAAGGTCAAGAAGCAACACTGGTGAAAAGTCATGTTTCTTTAGGTCATCCACAGGATACAAAAAATAAAACCAAAGTCAAAAAAATTTTACTAAAAACAGCCCAAGTAAAACAGACAAAAGAGAGGACAAATTAATTCTTAGCCTTTGAATCCTAGGTCCCCGATGATGTGTATTTTTGGGCAATAATTCAGTAAGATAAAAAAAATTCAAGGAAAATGAAAAAAGCAAAATTCAGGCAAACAGTTGAAATTTTACCCAAAACAGCGCCCCAAAAATTTGGATGTTTCTTTGCTAAATCCCCCCTTTGTTACCAACGGGGCAAACCTTAAGAATGAAATGACACTGAATCTAAATCAAATGATTCGAGCAGTTAACCCAAGCCGCGGATTAAGGGAAGTAGAAATATCTAGAAAATCAAAAAACACCGCAAGAACATGCCCCTTTTTCCGGGGGCCCAATATACAGTTCAA